TTGGAAAGCCTTCCCAGGATACGAGCAATCAGATAAATAGAAGTGATTACGGCTCTGGTTACACCTTATTCGCATTTGATTTGACCCCAGATCACTGCCCGGGAGATCATTTTGAGCTCATAAAACGGGGAAACCTACGCTTGAAGCTTCATTTCTCGGAAGCACTCGCCAACACGGTTAACCTTATCGTGTACGCCGAATTTCCAAACGTGATTGAGATCAACACAAACCGAAACGTTCTCTACGACTACACAAACTAAAAATGGACACCATTCAACTGACCCTTATTTTGAGAAAGGATAAATATACACGCGGTGTGTTTCAAGGCGTGTATCCTTCAGACAAGCTGCCTGCAAGTGTTTCGCAATACCCAGCCCTATACGTCACCAATGTGGATACAAGTGACAAGCCAGGTTCGCACTGGGTGGCGTTTTATTTCAACAAGGAGCAAGAGGGAGGATTTTTCGATTCTTACGGAGTACCTCCCAGCAAATATTCAGGAACATTTACTACCTTTTTAAACAACAGTTCTAACAAGTGGATTTTTAATACTGTGACATTACAAAGTATCTATTCCAGAGTCTGCGGACATTACTATTTGTATCTTGCTTTATATCGTAGTCGGCAAATAAGTATGAGTACAATTGTGCATCGTTTTTCTAAAAACATACGTAAAAATGGTAGTCTTGTCAAACGATAAAACAAGCAAAGAGCACAAGCCCAACACAATGTTCAATAAACAAACACCTTGTAGTTTCTTTTCAACGTCTTTTATTGAGTGAACAAAATAAAGAGATGATTTACAATAACAATGTCTCTTGTGGTGATTTTATAACCGTAACCAGCGTACAGCCTCAGGGCGCCGACTCGCATTTCTTCGCCGCTCCTTTTTACGGGGGATACCGTCACAGGTGGGCTAGGTAACCATCGGGAAGGACTCTTAGGGGTTTCATCTCTCACCCTTGCTTTAAATTCTCGAATAGCACTTTGCCTCTGTGTATTACGTGTTGTGGATTTTCCGGGACATTCATTCGCACCAGACCCCTCGCAAACACGGACCACCCCACCGGCTCAAATTCTTTTCGGTGACGCAATGTGTCGTTGACTAAGTCGACCAGATGAGAACCTGGAATGGGTTTGGTCTCATAAAACAGCTGTCCTTTATCATTCCAATGCAATACATCTTGATGCTCTTTAATTTTATTCAACAATTGTCTAGCCCCGGCTTTGTAAATTTTGGGTACACTCTTTATGACTCATGACAATAGATTTTTCTGGGGCAGGTTCTTCCGTTGGTTGCTCATTCTCTTCTGGTTTAGGTGTCTATAACTTTGGAAGTTGATATTTTCACATGAAGAGGTTGACCTTTTCTCTGATCGTAATAAGTCAAGTACCGCTGCAAAAGCAAAATATAGAGTCTACGAAAAACTGTCAAGAGTTTATAGCGTTGCCGGTTCCTATTTTGAAGAGAAATAAGGCCACCAACTCCAGTACTTTTAACCATCCATATTTAAGCTGCAATGAAAACCCTTGTATTTGGTAAGTTATTCAAGCTTTTTAGACTTGCCAGCACATTCGCACGGGGAGTTTACCACTTGGGAATAAAGATGAAGACAAATATGACAATCGTCTTATTCTTCTCATTATCCCCAACAGCAAATTACCCGTGCGAACGTGATGGGAAATCTTAAAAGCGTGAATAAATTACCAAATACAAGGGTTTTCATTGCAGCTGAAAAATGGATGGTTAGAAGTACTGGAGTTGGTGGCCTTATTTCTCTTTAAAACGGGAACCTGCGACGCTAAAAACGCTTGACAGTTTTTCGTCGAAGCTGTATTCTGCTTTATTGAGATTTGTTTCTAAAAGAGAGGGACAAATAAAAGTAAGTTTGATGAAAAGAAGTTCTTTAATATCACCCCTCACTCGATATCTCAAAGGTCTTTATACCCACAAGAAAGTAACTAACATTTTCGTAAAGTTCCATTATTGGTTATTAACGATGCCAAAAATCATAGAAATCGGTTAAATCTTTCATTCTAAAAGTCGCAAATCAAAAACATAACCAACACGCATATAAATAGGTTCGGGCCACCTTAAATGCCACTCGGCGTTGCGTGTTTGTTTGGCTATCGGCGCTTAACATGATGAAGTAATAAATGATCAACAAAGTTTATAGGTAGACAAAAAAGTTTTATTTCCTTTCTTTAAATTCACAGTGCATCGATTCTAACGGTAGGATATAACAACATCGTTATTAAGCGAAGAATATTTACAGACATTTGTTGTACTAATTAAAAAGCGTCTGATTCTCGATAACTCCATGCTGTCGCTGGAGTTTCGGTCGCTTGGGATTCTTGACATTCAGTGTTTTGCGTTTTCTCTTAATCTTTCGAATTCCAGTGAGTTGACTAGCCTCGCGTTTTCTAGGATCCTCTCGCCTCCACTGGTCAGAGTTTTTACCGTCTGTGGGTAAAACGGTGAATTTACTTCCACATCGAAATTTGACCATGTTGATCAGGTTTTCTATTTGTATCCACACCACCTTGGCGAATGCTTCATCTTTTGTTTCATCACGTTCTGTAAAAGTTCCAGGAGGAGACTTATGACCTCCCAGGCGATTTCAAATTCGCTTAAGTTCTCTCCGAAAAAGCAATGAAACATGATTGTTGAGCTTTGCTGGTGTATGAACAATTTTAATTGTAAAAATGTAGGTTGAGTTTGATTGTCCGGGTGAACGTAGTCCTGAATAGGACTGTTGTTGTTGACAGTGACTGACGTTTCGACAACCTGTGCGGTAGTCATCTTCAGAGTCAAAGTGAGTTATATCACGTCAGTTGATGGTATTATTAGACTTATTGACGAGATCAGGCAAAACTAACTGCGATAGAACGACTGGAGAACTGACAATTTGACTAACAATAGACGACTGTTTAACTGTGACAATAGAAGGATCGAAACGCACCAATTAATGATTACGAGTGTTCATAGCCAATAACATCACGGCTTAACTGACAGACGACCAATAACATCGCAACGAAATAGACCAATCAGACCAATAACCAGAGTATAATACCATCAACTTACGTCATACAACTCACTTTGACTCTGAAGATGACTACCGCACAGGTTGTCGAAACGTCAGTCACTGTCAACAACAACAGACCTATTCAGGACTACGTTCACCTGGACGATCAAACTCAACCTACTTTTGAAATGACTCCTGGGTTCAAACCTTTCACAATTTTAATTGTCTTAAGCTTTCTGTGATACTTCCGTTGTTCCGTTCAGGGTTTTGAAACAGGTAGCTTAGTTTCCGATACTCTTTCAGCATCAATATTCCCCACTTTTCCTTGGGAATAAAGATGACGACAAATATGACAATCGTCTTATTCTTCTCATTATCCCCAACAGCAAATTACCCGTGCGAACGTGATGGGAAGTCTTTAAAGCGTGAATAAATTACCAAATACAAGGGTTTTCATTGCAGCTGAAAAATGGATGGTTAGAAGTACTGGAGTTGGTGGCCTTATTTCTCTTTAAAACGGGAACCTGCGACGCTAAAAACGCTTGACAGTTTTTCGTAGAAGCTGTATTCTGCTTTGTTGAGATTTGTTTCTAAAAGAGAGGGACAAATACAAAGTAAGTTTCATGAATAGAAGTTCTTTAATATCACCGCTCACTCAGCTTAAAATTGTTCTTCTTAAAGTGCTAACTGTATTCGCCGTAAGTTTCTGATTACTCTGTTTCTTGCAATAAAGCTTTAGGTAGGAATATCCTTTCAGATAGGAGATAGTCTGTCGGCAGTCTTCCTCTATTTGTGCGTCAACTTTCACAAATGTGTTAGCGTAGCATTTTAAGGTTAAATTTGAGCAGCGGGTTGTACGGTTACGATTGCCTTCAAACTTGTAGATGTAAAACTAGAGAGCTCTGAGGCTTATTTGCTGAAGTTAGGGAAAAATCTGTCGTGGGATTCGAAAGTTATTTACATTTTTCGTAAAAATGCGGTTTTAAATATATGCCGATATCTCAAAGGTCTTTATACCTACAAGAAAGTAACTAACATTTTCGTAAAGTTCCATTATTGGTTATTAACGATGCCAAAAATCATAGAAATCGGTTAAATCTTTCATTCTAAAAGTCGCAAATCAAAAACATAACCAACACGCATATAAATAGGTTCGGGCCACCTTAAACGCCACTCGGCGTTGCGTGTTTGTTTGGCTATCGGCGCTCAACATGATGAAGTAATAAATGATCAACAAAGTTTATAGGTAGACAAAAAAGTTTTATTTCCTTTCTTTAAATTCACAGTTCATCGATTCTAACGGTAGGATATAACAACATCGTTATTAAGCGAAGAATATTTACAGACATTTGTTGTACTAATTAAAAAGCGTCTGATTCTCGATAACTCCATGCTGTCGCTGGAGTTTCGGTCGCTTGGGATTCTTGACATTCAGTGTTTTGCGTTTTCTCTTAATCTTTCGAATTCCAGTGAGTTGACTAGCCTCGCGTTTTCTAGGATCCTCTCGCCTCCACTGGTCAGAGTTTTTACCGTCTGTGGGTAAAACGGTGAATTTACTTCCACATCGAAATTTGACCATGTTGATCAGGTTTTCTATTTGTATCCACACCACCTTGGCGAATGCTTCATCTTTTGTTTCATCACGTTCTGTAAAAGTTCCAGGCGATTTCAAATTCGCTTAAGTTCTCTCCGAAAAAGCAATGAAACATGATTGTTGAGCTTTGCTGGTGTATGAACAATTTTAATTGTAAAAATGTAGGTTGAGTTTGATTGTCCGGGTGAACGTAGTCCTGAATAGGACTGTTGTTGTTGACAGTGACTGACGTTTCGACAACCTGTGCGGTAGTCATCTTCAGAGTCAAAGTGAGTTAGGGCTAGTCCGGGCTAGTGCTCGTTCGTAGTTGGACCTCTCTATGGCTTCCAATTCATCTTGTAAGCTCAGTTTATGAGAGTTTTTTCACTTATTCTAATTTTATGTTTTTCCATCGTATTACAGGTTCAGCCAAGGTATCCTTCATTTACAGTATGTCTAACCCAGCTGATATTGTCATAACAACATTAACGTCCATATTTCTAATGACCACCATCGTTGGAAATCTTCTTATTTGTGCCATTGTATTTAGAAATCGTGACATGAGGTGAGTGCAGTTCTCCTTATTCTGCGAAACAGACGTAAAATTCTCTTAGTCCGCGGGACTCTAAGGACGAGCAACAGGTACCCAGAGAGCGCGGTTTAGTTTCCGCCGTGTAATAGTTTGATAAAAGTTTAGGTTTAATGACCACATAACAGACTCAAATGTCATCTTGCAGAAGTATTCGATGTTGTACGTGTACATCTGGTTCAATGTCGAGTACATAGCCCTTTTTACTATATAGTAAAACAGTGGATAGTTGTTTTCGCGCGCTCTGATTGGCTACTCAATCAGTGAATATCCTGCACCATTCACTGATTCGCCTCCAGTTCCTCCGAGCGAGCGACACCAAACTCGCGTAAGTTTCGAGCAAAATGCCTTCCCG